TAAATTAGGTGCATCCTTTATAATTAGCTGAGTGTGAGCTATTACATTTGACGCAGCGAGGTTGTAGTTTGCAGGATTTGTAAATGTGCCCATATCTTTGGCAGTTGGTACATTGGAGAAGGTCGTTTGATTTTCGCCAGGGCTCTATAGTTATTATGCAATTTAGCATTTTATTAAGTTTAAAGATTTCTTGGGCTTTGGGATTGTTTAATAGTTTTAAAACCAGTAAAGAAGTGGGTGCTTTATCTTTATTAGTTATTCATATAATTGTATGAACAGGGAAATTTAGGTTTTTTGTTCTTCTGTGACCTCCGATTCTATAATTGATATAGGTAAGTTTCTTATTATAGTTGATATGCCTTTTTCTTTTTTTTAGCCTGTATGTGTAGTATTCATATTTTTTTCCATCTAGGAATTTGAAGGAATTTCTAACCTGAAGTCTTCAATTGTTTATAAATTAATTTTTATGTTATTTATTTGAGCTGTAATGGAAAAGTCATAATGAATGACTGTAGATATTAGTTGACGAAACTTCGTAAATTCCGACATCTAAATTACGAATAGTGGTGGTATTTTCAGGAGGTTATCAGTTGATTGTATTTGTTCGTCATGGTTGTTTGGGTTTATATTTTGATCATTAGTCGATGTGCTGATTGTGTCTAATGTATTTGGAGGCGTATCTATTTGGTCTACTTCCATAGAGTCTAATGTAAAATATCGATTTGGTGTGGAAAAAAATGTTGTTCTGGTGTGAGAGCGATCTTGTGCTTTGGCTGTTTTTTTTTTTTTTGGTGATCTAAACTCATTGTCGGAGTTTGGAGACGGAGAGTTTGAATCTTCATTGTTTGAGAGAAATCATGATTTGTTAATGACGAGAGGTGGGACTTTTTTTTCTGTTATATTTATTTGGATTATCGGAAGTGTTTGATTTTAAACTCATTTTATTCGTATTAGTTGTTATATAACGAACTTATAATGATAACGGGTTACCGCCCGTGCGTTTTGGTTTATACTATGCAGTTATGTGTTATTGGATTTTGTATCTAGTGTAATGTTTATACATACCGGTTTGTCGTATTCAATACAGTTGTTTTATTACTGCTATCGAGAGCTATTAAAAACGGTTCGCGTAAATACTTATGGTCTCTACGGTGTCTCGACGCATACTTGAAAATCTTGAAATTGTATGGTTTTAATTTTTTTTTTTTTAACTATTTTTTAGTCTTTATAACCATAATATATTATATTAATGTATACACTCAGTCAAAAAAGTTTCTATACAACTCTTTTCAAAAAAATTTTTTGTAAATATTTTAAAAAGTTCAAAATATTGGGGGTTGGTATTCGTACCATAAATTAATTTACCATGCATATTTTATATTTCAATAATATAAACTATTTTTTAATTAAGATAACATAAATTACAAATTAGAAATATTTAAATAAAAAATACTCCAAAAAGTTTCCATACACTCATAATATAAATTTATTAATTAGGTTAGTTTTTATTCTTTAATTAATAACGTGTTGACCCACCTCTTGCTTATAACATTGATCAAACGATTCTTCATACTATTTACTAATTTTTTAGTGATTTTGGGGTCAATTGCATTCTATTCGGTTAAAATTGCATTTTTTAATTGCTGCTTATTTCGAACATTATGTGTTCTAATTTTTCTTCTTATTTCATCCCATAGATTTTCGATAGGGTTCATATCAGGTGATTGTGGTGGTGTATGAAGTTGTTTAGGAACATTATGTATCAACCATTCTTTAACAAATTTTGACGTGTGTTTTGGATCATTATCTTGTTGAAAGATAAATGAACTTCTCAAACGCAATTTGTCCATATTACATTATAATTATTTCTTAAAATATCTAAATAAATGTATTGATCCATTATACTATCTATAAACACTAAATGTCCTACTCCTGATGCACTTATACACCCTCATACTAATATATTACCACCGTCGTGTTTAACAGTTACGCATAAGTTTTGTGTTTTTAATTGTTCATTTAGTTATCTCTATACTTTTCCTCTATCGTCGTATGAAAATATATTAAATTTTGATTCATCAGAAAAAATTACTAAGTTCCAGAAACTTATAGGCTTATTAATATGAGCTTTAGAGAAATATAGACGTTTCCTTTTATTAACAGCACTTATAAATTATTTCTGCCTAGGAGTACACCTATTATATCCAATTATCTTCAAAACATTTCTCAGTGTTTGTGGTACTACATTTACACCATAGTATTTTTTAATCATATCCACAAGTTTTGGTGCACTTGTCTTGGAATTTTCTACAACTGTTCTTAGAATTGTCCACCGTTGGTTTGAGTTTAATTTTCTAGGACGACCTAAACGAGGCCTATTGCTCAATATTTTAATTTCTTTTTGTCGATTGCTAACATATTGAATCGTCGAGAGTGATTTGTTTACAGCTTTAACAATTTTTCTAAAATGTTGTCCTTCTTTTATTAGTCGAATAATAATTATTTGACTAAGAAATTAATTATTAATGTACGGATTTCGGTAGATGGTTAACATATGTCGTAGTAAAAGAAACGTTAACGTATAATTAACATAGTAAAAAAAAAATATTTAATGTATACAAATATGAAAAATCACAATAAATTGATTTATTAGACTCAGATAGACCTAATAACAACGAGTACACCGATGAGAAAAAAAAAGAGTGTATGAAAACTTTTTGACGAAAATAATTTAATTATAAGGGTTTTCCAAATTAATTTATTTCTCCATAAATATTTTTACCTAAATTTGCCACGGAAATTAAATAATTGATTGTTAAGGAATGATTTGGTTAATAAATAAAAATGCTAATGTTTAATTTAACATTTATTAAAATCATTTTATAAATTAAAATGTAATGTATGGAAATTTTTTTGACTGAGTGTAAGTACATTGTATATATATTTTTAATTATTAATATAGGTGGTTTTTATAGAAGTGACAAACAAGCTTGAGCATTAACGAGTTAATAAGTTAAAAGTTAAGCTAATTTAACGTATTAACTTAACTCATTTCCTTAAAAATTAACTTATTATTTTTTTCATTTATACCAATTAAGTTAATTTTGATTTTCAAGAACAGAAAAATATTTTTGTAAAATACCGCATTCTATAACAAGTTCATGGAATTTGGAAAAATATAAAATAAAAATTTAGAAGAATTTTTAGATGAGACCTTAATATTTATCTCAGTATCAACTTATTAATTGAAGTTATGTTAAGTTAACAATATTTTTTAACTTTTAATTTAATTGAATATGAACTCAATTAACTTAACTTAACTGAGTTAAAAAATATCATTAACTTGCCCAGCCTATGTTACAAACATTAATTGTTAAAGTAGATCTTATATTAATTTAATTTTTTCTACAGCACTTTGATACATACGATTAATGCAACTATAATTGTATAACAATATTAAGTTAGAAGTAAATAAGCAATTGTTATTGTGAAAAACTATTTCGTTCGGAACAGTGCTTAGATTTATGTATTCATAAATAGATTTAATTTGCTTAAAAGTTAGTAAAATAATTTTGATACGTGTAATTTTCACTGAAGTTCTGGAACGAAATCAATCCAAGAAGTAGATACAGTTCTGGTCAGAAATAAAGTCAGTGCTTATCTTGAAAATAGTTTCGGAAAATCTGTGTCGGTATATACAACAACTGGATAAATAATAAATACACAAAATATTAACCTCTACTTTGTAAATATACTCGTGGCACATCACTTATTACAAGTATTTTAGTCTACCGATATAAATTCGGAATAAAATCAAAGAACATTTACGCAAAACGTAACAAAGATTTCTGAAGATTTTCACATCTCATTGACCTAATTTTCTAGTTTTAATCATGTTAGTCTGAATTGCTTGGTCTTAAAATACATTTCGATTACCCATTTTTACGTTCGAATTTACAGCATACAGTCAAAATTTTAAATGAAATGATATTTCAGATACATACACATATATTCTTCTGTGTAATATTTTCTTTTTGTTGCATGAAAAATAATTTGATTTTTTTCACGTGCCCTTTCAAACACTTCGTCATCGATTTAGCTTATGAGACGACGTGAATTACATTCCTACACGAAATGATAGTTTTATAAAATAACCGAACGCTGGATCATGAAATCGTTAAAAAAAAATGTAAACAAAATGCTTGATCTAAATCTTAAACGTGTAATCTTAAATACCACTTGGATCGCGGAACATCAGTGTTTTATATAAGTTAATAGAGAAATATTCAAATACATTCCGCGTTTATTCAAATTATACAAACAGTAGCTATCCTCGAAAATTATTTAATGTTTAAAATAATAATTTATCATGATGAATTATAACTCCACAGAGAATCTTGATTAAAATAATAGGCAATCTAAATTATAATTTGTAAATGTTAAACACTGTAGCTAGTTATTTGTTTTTATTGCTATTTACCTGTGCCTATAATATAACTGTTGTAGTGATCAATTCCAAGTACAATATTAACTTATTAGTGTAGATCATAGCATAGAGATGTAAGCTAATAGAAAATTATTATATTAATATATTACTAAATGTACTTACACTTCCTCAGGAAATAAGCTTACAAACAATAAACTACAAATAAGTATCATCGTATTTGTACCATCAACTAACTAACACTTTATGGCACGTTCATAAAGGGAAATTAAAGTTTTGTATTGTATATTTACCACAAATCGATTCACACAACGTGTCATTTGCAGATTATGTCATGCAATGCTCGACTTAAGGGGGGGGGGGCTATAATCATAACGCTGAGGCAGTTTTGGGGACGTTATTTTTTTTTAAAGTAAATAGAGTCCCTCTTCTTTAATTTTGCCAAGTCGAGCACTGATGTCATTTTGATAGATAAAACTATACTATTCAATTCAACATAACTAGTTAAGCTTCATTTTCAGATATTTAACTGTTAAGTAAAATAAGTCCCTAAATCATGGTTAAGGATATTTTTAAATTTCATTCAACATTCGACCCGGCCATAGTTACGTGCATTTTATTCTATAACCCAAACAAAACCAAATGTAAGTGCATCAGAAATGCTATTAGATCTAAGAATGTATACAATAAAAAGTACTAAACCGCTAACAACTATCTTTTAACATCACCGTACAGTAATAGATAAGAATAAAAAATACATTAGGTATAATAAAACTGGTAACGAACAAATAACAGTTATAGTTATTAAGTGGGAGCAAGACGGAAATTCACTAACACCGCTCTCGATCCATATTAGAATGGTTAATACGATAACATGTTTGAATATTGATTTTATTTAAAAAAATTAAAAACCAATATATTATTCTCCATAATTTTCCAAATAGCAAACGATGAGGTACACTTCATCTGGCACTACAGTTGGCTACTTAACATATTGACATACAATACGGTATATAGTGAGGTACATGTACGTGCATAATACATATATGTATATGTTTACAATAAATAATCGAAATGTGTTGGTTGGGTTGAAATACACATTCGTATCTCGCAATCGCATTGGGGTATCCAACAACCATAATAATATTATCGGAAACAACGAGTCGTCTGGTTAATGTCACTCGTTCAAAATGTGTTATTGAATTTGTTTTGTATGGAAATATTATTGATTTACAGTTTCCTGTTGCTAGTTTAGCGCGAAACGTTCATACCAATAATTACATAATGTGAAATATAATATATTTTTACTACGATCATTCTAAGAGTGAACGAGGTAGAACGTGCAACTTAAAGTATTAGCAGAGAACTGCAAGATTTTGTTGGAAAAACTGAAAACACAATACAGTTTTAACGGATATTGGTGAACATTGGTTTAGAATTTCACAAAAAAAAAAAAAAATTACAAGGTCATTTAAATTGTGTAATTTATCATTCGAAAATCTTTTAATTTTTCTGCCACACTTAACAAAATTTTTTTGTTTTTTTTTATACTAATTCCTTAGGTTTTAATAAATTATATTATTTTGTTTCACGATTTAATTTTATATTAATATTCAATTATAATTAAAATTGCAGGTGAATGTGGTATAGATTTATTATACCTAAATATTAATTATTTTTAATAAAATAAACAAATGTATCCATTACCTATGATGTATCGTATGTCATTCGGGTTTAAAAATTGGGGCTCATGAATAATTTGACCTGATTACTAGAAGTTCATTAGAGTGAAATCATTATCAATAATATAAGATACTTGCAGATGATCTGGATATTCTGGGCGAATCCTTAACAGACGTAGCAAACGCAACTAAAATCTTGAGTAGTGAGGCAAAGAAAATAGGATTACACATTAGTGAAGATAAAACCAAAATAATGGAACTGCTAGAAAGTGATGAAGACCCCAGAGTTACGGAAGATTTAATGTATGAAAAAGTTGAAAACTTTAAGTACCTGGGTGCAACCCTGAGTACGAAAAATTACTGGTAAAAGGAGATAGGTATTCGTATAAGTAAAGCAGAAAAAACATTTTTTGTGTTGACAAAATTTTTTAGGTCCAAATGCCTCTCTAGAAAAACCAAAATTAGGCTGTACACAGCGATAATTAGACCAACTCTCACATACGGTTGTAAAGCGTGGACATCAACCAAGCAAACTGAAAAAAGCTGAGAACGTTTGAGAACAAAATTTGCGGTCCCATCTATAATGAATCAACAGATAGTTGGAGAAGAAAGTACAACAAGGAACTAATCGACATGGTTAATATACCACCAGTAACCAGTTTCATCAAAGGGCAAAGAATACAATGGCTTAGACATATCATGAGAAGGGGGAAAGCGATACTGCCAAACTAGCACTAGAATGGAGACCACACGGAAAGAGACCTCGGGGAAGACCCAGGAAAAGGTGGATCGATATTGTCGAAGAAGATCTAAGAAATATGGGAATAGACGCATGGAGGGAAATGGTGCTTGACAGAGATAGGTGGCGCGAGGTTGTATTGGCGGCTATGACTCTTAGAGAGTTGAATAAGTCAGAAGAAGAAAAAGAAGAAGAAGATACTTGAATGTAATTTAATGACAAAATCCTGTTACTGATCCCTCGAAATTTCTTAACATCATACGTGTAAGTGAAATTGCAAAAAAAAAAAAAATGACTAGATTTGCAAGACCCATAAAGGTAACTAAAAAAACCTCGCAGTTCGATTAACATTATAATAAAGGAAGTAAAGGAAGAATCGATAAGCTCGATAGTAATTTATAAGATCAACTTATAATACAGACATTTGCCTAGTTGTCTTATTTAATTATATACTGGCTTTCAAAAAAATATTTTGTAGAAGATTAAAGAGCATGAATTAAATAAAAATAGAAAAAGTAAAATGTAATAGTATCAACCTCGTATCAATAGTTTATTCTCGTTCGCTTCATGAGTTAGAGAAAAATGTTGATATTATTGTGCGATGATCTTTGATTGTTCAAACTGAACCTTCTCCTAACCTTGGTGCGCGCACGCTAAGTTTCCACTATTTTCACCACGTAAACTTAACGTAAAATTTTTGATTGCATATTTTATAACGTTGATTATTTTTCCCACTGAATAATCCAAACATCTTAGTGTACGAGGAACACTCATGGGGTATCCGACTGTGGCGAGATTGTTATGAGAAACGGTGTGAATGGTAACCCGTCGATTGCTACTATACAGGCTTTGCAGCGATCTGTACGCTTGCGGGGATCGATGTAAAAATAATTAAGGTATGACGACGAAATATAGTTGATTTAATAATGTCGAGTTAAATTTGTCCACATGACTCGACATTTTTTTGCTAAACGCTATTGTGCGAAGACCACAATTCAATTCAAACACGATCCGTCTTCATACACGATTAACATGTGACTCCAGCGTTTTTATCGCGCAACAAGAATTTTAATTTGTTCACCCGCTCTCGTTTTCCCTTATTTGTATTTCAGAAATTCCATCGATGGCTGTAATTTAATACAAGTTGGTATAACACTGTAGTACAGTAAAGGTCAAAAGTCTATATTCATCATGCCATTTCAAAATTATAACATTTCATTCGCTGTATATTGACATGTCATCTTTAAGTTTTTGTTTTTTCGATTTTTTTTTTTATTATGTCCGTTGTAAGCCGTTGCTAATTTAACTAATAGAGACACTTAACCTGAGATAAAATGCGTATATAAACTAGGAACATTTTTTACGCTATCGACGTTCCAAATTAATTTTCATTCGACCGGATAATCGCATTTCATGTGTTAAATTAAAAATTCTTCAATTTAAATGAAATAATAACATGCTACACGGGAGTATTCGCTTTCGTCAAATCATGGACACCTATTGCGTCAAACGTCTTACCGACAAATCCTTGTACGTGATCACGACTCCGATCAGCCGTAGCAGTTAATCCTTGCGGTTGTTCCAAATTTCTCTCGATCATAACAATCGAAATCGTAACGACGGGCTGCGATGCATGATTAGAGTACGGTGTGGTGGGCCAATGGCACGGATTGTGATAGGTTACCGGATTGTATTTCAATCATATCAGACTTACAAGCCACAAATAACAAGGCTATAAAGATCGTAGAATTTTGGAGCAACAAAATCTAAAAGCAAAATTCATATGTTACCTTTTAGTACCGCCCTTTGTTACCATTATCTATTTAGTATATTATTTCATATTTTATTTTATTGTATAAATACCAGTTGACTTTTTGACTAATCGATATATCGTTGTGTTATCTATAGTTTTTATACAATGGTATTCGTACATTTAATTACTTGTTAACATTCCGACTCGAAAAAAAAAGAAAAAAAATTTAATCTCGTTTTTGCCGGTAAGAAATGTAAAGGTTTACGAAGTCCGAAAACTGGAGAGACTTCTTACGCTACCGATGTCGGAAATTAATTAGCGATATCCGCAATACAGTACTATTATGTTGGCTACGAATTCTTTGTTTGCTTGGTACACACCGTTGTAATACGCGAACAAGAGGTTACAATATTTTTGATACACGTTCAATAGTTTAACATCGAATGAAAAAAAGTGTGTGTGTACCATACTTGTGTTTCATATTACGTTTTAAATCATTAAACGCGGTTGTTAATTATTACTGTACAAATGTTATTAACGGTCGTGAATGAAGCAAAATCTTTTACGCACCATTACAGCGATCTACACAATTTGGCATCGTTGAAACGGTTACAATGTACTGTAGAGTATTTAAGTATTTATACAAAAATCTAGCAAAGTAAAAAAAAAAAAAAAAAAACGTTTAAAACCATGAAAATATTAATTTTCTCTAAGTTTAATATGTGAAATATATTATGAGTATTTAACTATTTATACAAAAAATCTGCATTTAAAAAAAAAAAAACTAAGTTCAATATGTACAACGAGATAAAAAGAACATTTTATAAACATTGTTTTCAGTAGATTTCTAAGTAAAGTGTTTTAAGTTCAATATTGCTTGTTTTAAATTTCGTTGTTGCGTTTATCGTGTGCAATATAATATTCAGAATGGGCTTATATAATCATTATTTGGTTGTGATTTCAAACAATTGTTATTAAATATTATTAAATGTTATTAAATATTTAAGGTATTAGATGGATTGATATTTTAGTTGATTTAATATAGTACAGATTTTTTCATCGTAATTTAACATGTTATTTGTTTTTATTTTTTTAACAAATATATCCAATTTTATAAAAGGATTTTAATTGTATCTGTGTAAAAATCTATATGTGTCCATGTACCGCCAAGTAAACATATTCGTTTTAATGTATAATCTACACACCAAGCACTGTAAAGAAAAATTTTCTGCCGATTCATGCCATTTAGTTTAACATCACTTTAATACTGTGATGGCATGTGATCACACAACGTGACGCGTTCTCGACAGGCCTATTTCAAACAGATATTTTAGAGCAACGAGGATACGGATGCAAATATTTTCCAAGTTTTTTTGTCCCCTCGAGTATTCAGTATTGAAAACCAAAATAAAAATCGTATGGGAGAACCCAGTTCCTTCATCTACGAGTTGCTGTAGACTAATACACATTCGTTTTTTACACGAAGCGAAACGTATAACAAATGAAGAAATTCATAAGAAAGCAAGTAAGCAGTCTGAAGAAATCCGACATATCAACAGCTAGTAGTGTTTTAATTCATATTCAATATATATACGAGGGGCAAATGATAAGTAATGCACAATCGTGAATTTTTCGAAAATGAAGAGATATAATTGAAATGAAAAAAATATATATAAAAATACACTTTTTTAGCAAGAAATTAATACCTTTATTTTTTAATATAATCACCATTTACAGAAATATACTTCTCCCAACTTGTGTTTCTTCATACCGTCACTGAAATATGTAGCTGGTCTCTTTTTTATCCAATACTTCACTGCTTCCTTGACTTCTTCGTCCGACGTGAAATGGGTGCCTTTGAGGTCTCTCTTAAGGTCTGGGAAGAAGTGGAAATCACAAGGTGCTAAATCTGGTGAATACAGTGAGTGTTGAAGAACCTCGAATTTCAACTGTTTGAGAGCGGTACTGGTTGCATTTGATGTGTGAGGTCGGGCGTTATCGTGATGCAACAAAATGGTGTCAGTTGATCCATGAACGCGACACACTCGTCTCCTTAATTTTTTCAGTGACTTAATGTATCGGGCTGAGTTTACACTTGTCCCCTTTTCCAAATAATCCGTTAGATAAACTTGATTTCCATCCCAAAATACCGTAAGCATAATCTTTCTTGCAGAAGGCTGAACCTTGAACTTTTTGGGCTGGGGAGAAGTGACATGACGATATTCCATACTCTGTCTTTTTTCCTCTGGATCGTAGTGATGCACCCAAGTTTCGTCACCGGTCACAATTTTTAAGAGAAACTGCTCTCCTTGGTGATAACGATTCAACAATTTTTGGCTACACTCAACTCGAATTTTCTTGTTTTCCTGTGTCAACATTTTCGGTACCCAACGAGCACAAATTTTTTCGATAGCCAAGTTGCTGAGTAATGAACCCGACTCTTTCTTGCGACATCCCAACAATATCAGCTATATAGTTTTGAGTTATTCGACGATCATTTTTGATAAGCTCGTCCACTTGAATTCGATGTTTTTCATTCTTAACAGTTACAGGTCGTCCATCGCGATGTTTATCCAGAATATTCATTTTACCAGGGTCAGTTAATTTACATTTTGATACCCAACGAGATACTGTGCTTCAGTCTACAGTTTTATTAGCGTAAACAGCTTTTAAGTGACGATGAATGTCTATTGGATTAACATTTTCGGTGGTTAAAAATTCAATCACAGCTCGTTGTTTTAATTTCATTGACAATACGTCAGTACTAGGCTCCATTCTGACACACACTGATTAGAAACAAATTGAGTCATGTTCAAATGGGTATTTCTCAGTTATAAACGATAACAATAGCTATATTTGGATCTAATTTTGAAGTCTTTATCTTATTACGATTGTGAGTTATTGGTGATTGTGCATTACTTATTATTTGCCCCTCGTATAACTACTATGGTTGATGTAAAAATTTGCATTGCTATGACAAGTACATTTTCCACCACGAAGAGTTACATATAGGAACATAGGTTAAAAAGCTTTATAAATTGAAAAAGTAAAAAGGAAATAAACAATGATGCTTTAAAATTTGAGTTAAAAATTCTCTAAAAATTAGATTATTTGAACATCTTCTTCATTTAGCGTACAAACTCTCGATTAGCTGCTGAAACAAGGAATAAATACTTTAAGTGGTATAGTCAAAACTTTTCAAGAAAATGTTACCAAGAGTTTTAAAATAATGATGTTTCAAAAAGACTTGTTAAGTTCTGACCCATTTTTGAGTAGTACAAGACCAAATCCACAAAAAAATGTAAGCCTTTTTCATGAAACTTTTTCTTCCATAACTACCGTTAACCACGTACTTTTAACAGAAGATATCGCCGAAGAAGTTGTTAAAAAATACGACGAAATGGATTATGGGAATTTGAACTAATGTGTGTTGTCTTATCATAGAAATAACCAATATTTTTGGCCAGCATTTTTATATAAATACTGCACTGTACGACAGTCAAAACCATGACGTCTCGATTATGTGCAGTCAAAGGTCGTCAGCTGGTCAACAGACAATAATATAATGCCCAAAACACCATGTGGATATATTATAACTACAGAACGTGTATCAGAATACCAATACGTCGACGACAATTACATAAAAAAATAAAAAAGTTGAAGAAAAAAAAAGAAGGAAATATGCTAACGAAAAAGAAAAATGGTAAAATGGCTGTCGATAACTAGGGATGCAGCACGCCAGGGATCCGGAGAAAAATCGTACAATATGGATCATTGATAACTTTACGACGCGTTCACATGAGGTCGCAGAAAATAAACGCTGTTCGAGTACCATTGTCGTTCCATGTGATTGCTTCCGCGTCGTCGATTTACCACAGTAAAAATAATAATAATAATAATAATAATAATAATAATTAATAATAGTAATGCTATAAGACGTTTGCTGGAGATGGGCGAAAGATACATCGAGCTTGCACCGCGATGTCGATAATTAATTGTTTTACCGATGTATAATAATAGCACGTAATCATTATTATTATCTCGCAAGTCTCCCCCGGGTTGAACACGATTTCACATCGCATTAGCTGCGTACTCCGTCGTGTTCTAATTCACCAATCAGTGTCGTGGACACAAAGAAAATAGAGGTTTACTAACAACAGTGGAAAAGCATTCCATAATGGGAGTCACCCACTATTATCTGTATATATATATATACATAAAATAATTAATTGTGTCGTAAGTACCAACATCTCTCGACCGAGAAACGTAGTTTATAAATATGTAAAAAAAAAAGAAGATGAACGTTTCAGTTTAAAAATTCACTTCACTGTTTTAATTTAATAGACTGAAGATAAGTCCATCAATTTTTGTACAGAAAAATACTAATTGAACATGTAAGTAAAACGTGTTACGTTCTGTTTAATATTAACAACTTTAGATTTCAATCGAAACATTAATAATGTCAACTTCAATATCATCTACGCAAAACACTCTTTTTCTGCGTGTCTTTTTTTGGTCAGTTATTCACAAGTATAAGTATAAGATATATTTTATTAATCCGTAAACTCCGAAAAGCGAAATTAAAAATGGAAATAAAATTATGTATGAGTAGATTTAAAATTTAATATTAAAACGTCTACATTTCAAACTCGGGTTCTTGTAAACAAATAGAAAGAAACGTTTACGGGTAAGAACTGTTGTATTATTATACTAGTAGGAATATTTGCAATACAACATTTTTTAATATTATAATTTTTTTTCTTGCAGTCGTTGGTAATGTAGGTGTTAAGGTGTGTACATTGGAAAAATATACTCGCTTTAAGAATATAATTTTTTATGTATTTGACCCAAATCATATTTTTAATTACAATAATTCAAAACATGTATTTACTTATTATTATTATTATGAAATTGAATTAAAGGGATATTATATACTAATTAGTTTTCAATAATTCTATACCGGAATGTAGTTTCTACATATTTGTTATGCTACCGATGAAAAATAAATATGAAAATGTACGGTTTATTGAAGTTATATCTTCATTCGTAATAATATTGTACGGAGATAATTATGCTAGATAATTAAAATAATTGTTCCATCTTCAAAGACAAATTCACTAAGCTGGGTATATATTTCGTATATTCACTGAAATCTATTTTAATTTACGTTTTGTAAGTGTCATACAACATATAATCATGTATATACGTGTTAGCTTGGAATAAATCAGCTGGTGTTAGAATTCTTTTCATTTTTTTTGCCGTAGTCGTACTCGAACCAGCGTCGTTGTCGGGAGCGGAATATTATTGTGCGATCACATAAAACGTTCATCGGCGATATTACACAAAAACCAGACCACATTTGAGTACCGAATTCAAAATCTAAATGTGTTTCAATTATTATCATGTTTGTTTATTTTTTTTTTCAGTGGTGTCATTTGTGTCACTAAACAGTCATCAGTCATTTGAATTATTTAATTTCTTTATAAACTCTTTTTTTTTTTTTTTTTAGTAAATACTCCAATTAACATTTAGTACCCATATATATAATTTAAAAAATATTCAAATGTGTTAGATTACAGTTCTGTTAATCATTCTATGATTATTATTCTTCCGAATACGCAGTTACATATTGTTCTCTGCAAGTCCATATACTTAAAGCCCACTATGAATAAACACGTTATGTATCTACTCACATCGATTATATCATTAGTGTAACGCGTAGCACAGAATATGCCCATTCTCTTATTCTTACACTATAACACTACCTTTATTATATATGATTACAAACCCAACTATCGAAAGAATTGAATCCCGTCCGTCACGAAAATTTGGTAAAATAATACTATATCTATACTAGTATATGTGTAGCAGATTATATATTTACTATCATCCAATTGATTTTATCTGCTTTGCAAAATCGACAACACATACGATGCATATGATATTTTAATTTCGTATGTACGTTAACACTATGGTCAATGCGTGTTACTGAAGTTTATTGCGGTCGAATATCTGAAATATTATCATGCAAGAAGCGAATAAAATTAAAATTGCGTAATATCAAAAGTGTGCCCAGTAGTTCAGATTCTGAGTATTGTAAGAAAGTTATTGGTTTTACCATGACGTGTGGTTTTTTTGTTTTGTTTCGTATTTTTTATTTTATTTTAAAACAGCTCAAGAGAATATTGGTTTCCAGCTGCATCAAATCGTGTCCAGTTTTTATAACATAAAGTTTCACATACGTATATATCACTCCACCGGTTAATGAAAAAAATATAATAAAAATGATTGTTTGAATATTGAATTTTGTCATTACTTGGAATAAAACCATGAAAATCCGCAACATTTTACTTTCAATTTTAATACATGAGGTATTTTCACACACATCCGATCCAAATCCGTTTCTATCCGCCAGGGCATCCGTTTACTCGGAAATATAAACTTGTTATTTTCCAGTGCATATGTTCATACACGTTCGATCCGAGTTCGAACTCAACTCTATCCGACCAAAAAAATATTTTCAGTGACTGATTTTCGTCCGATTTTTCGTCCGACCTCGGTCGGTTTTTGACGAAATAATGCCGGATCGGACATGTATAAACACGTGTCGACTGGTATGTTTAGCATATTACGAAATATATTGACTTACGTTTTTTGTCAATATTCATACGACACTGTCATTACATTTCATCATGGACAATGAAAAATTAATTAAGCCAATAAGAAGTCATACTGAATTGTATGACTTGAGTAATTCTAAGTATAGTGACAGTACTTGGAAAGAAAAAATATGGAAAGGAATTGGAGAAAAATTGAATCAAACAGGTAAAACAATATATTTTAATTATGTTACTTTATATTTTACTTGAAATAACATGGTCATGATTATGAATGCATATATAATTATATTATTAATACTATTAGAACAATAGATCAACAATAAGAAAAACGTACTATTACAATTTTCATTCTTTATCACTAAATTCAGTAATGATAAAAATTCGAATGCAAAATGACTAGATCAACATTTGTTTTATTTGATAACAACATAAAAACTGTTTAAAAATAAGTAAAATGACGGACTCGGCTCGGAACGTTAAAAATCGGATCGGATATGTGTGAATAAATTCTCCCCTGAAACTAATCAAAATACTAAATATCGGAACGAACTAGGATCGTATTTGTGTGAAAGGACCTTATGGAAAATTGGATACAACATTTTCCATATGATTTTCTTTGTAGTCAATAAAATCATTTTCCCGAAAAGTCATAAAAAAGTTTTATAAGCATTAGAAAATTAAATTTTGATGAAATCGGGTACTTCAAAGAATTTCGATAATTAATAAATTAATCATATAGTTTTTATCGTTGCGACTTGAACCATTTACAGAATACCTAATATATATATATTTTTTTTAAATGATATAGAATATTTACAATGTATAATTTTTTTTTTTTTTTTTTACAGTCAAAGTGAGATCAATGGAATATAAATAAAAAACAAAACAAAATGGATTTACACGAGGAGTGTGGTATACTAGTGTGAGAAACTTTTGACGTTAATAAAAGTTATCTAATAATCAAAGTTCAAAAGATAGGTGTCTTTTCAATCGACGAGGGTGATTTTCTGGTAAGGATTTGCTGACTAATAAAAATACTAATAGATTTATATGGTTATTTAGTTTGTTATGAAATGTTTTATAGTAATTTATAACTGTAACTGAGACTGTCTCGATTTTTAAGTCTTTGGGAAGTTTGAGATAATATGGTGCAAAAATGATTTACTGAAGAAAATTTGATTGAAAACACTAGACGGTGCTAAACTTCTTTAGTATTTATCCAAACATTTTATTGAAATTTCGTCATTTTCAAAATATTTTCATAAAATTCTCGTTATTAATAGCTATTTAAAATGTTCGATTAAAAGTTAAAACTACTTTATTAAGAAATTGGGTTCGGCTATAATACCAACGATTGTTATTATAGATGTATAGAATATTAATATTAATGGATCCATTTACTTTCATCCAGAATTGTTTTTTTCAAAGCGATTGTAAATTGGTTTTAAGTTTTAACAGACCAACATATCAATACAGCAATATCGTTCACCCATCCCTATTTATCAGCCCATCGTGAGTGTCATACATTTTAACTATTGTTTTGATGATTCGTGAACGATTTATTTATACATGAACGTAATTTAGCAATATCAAACCATAAAATGAACGTTGGTAGTTATTTATTCAATACGCATCATAGATATTTGATAAAACTACTGCGGTAACCGTTTTGGACCTAATAGTAAATGTATTGCAACGATATAGGTCATTTGAGAACGTCACATTTTATAAATTAACAAATAACGGTTCTATACAACAGATTGCCAAATTTCGATTATCGATAACTCTAATATTAATAATATATGGAAACAGCTAAGGCTGTTTAAAAAAAATGAACTAAAACTGAAAAAGCTTCAGTAAAAGCGAACGTATTGATGTTTCACACAAGTTTATATGGTTTCGAAGTAGGGATTTTGTATCGTTCGTTAAATACCTACCAAGTAGCACAACAATAAGCACAAAACTTCAGTTAAATACGTATAATACAACGGATTAAGTAAAGAATTTTTATGGATATAAATAATGATTTGTACTTTCACGCGTGGTATTTAATTTATTAGGTAGTTATTATGAAGTGGTGGTGCGAATGGCTTGTGCTAGCGTAACACATGCACCACCCTATTTGCGGTACGCGACGGTGCGAATTTATCGTTTTGTATCACTAGAAAACCTTGGAAACCTATTACGACCAACATTTCCATAACAAATGTATGATTCCGATGCACCATAACGTGTATGGTATATTCTCTGGATAGAGATGATATCGATTCGGCTTAAGCAGTGCCGTATTACCCATTAGGCGGAGTAGGCGTCCACCTTAGGGCCTCATTCATTTAAGGGGCCTCGTGAAAAGGGAAAACTATATTTTTTTCTATTTAATAATACATGTATTCTATTAACGAATTTACATGAAAAAAGTCACTATGCAATATAATATATATTATAAGTTATAGGTGTTATATGCAATAGTAATAATTAAATTAATTCGGAACAAATAGAAATAATATAATAATTAATTCATTTTTCTTGCAAATATAAAAATTTAATGAACATGATTTTATTTATTAATTATAGTCGGTTATTGTTAAAGCTGTTAATTTTAATTATTGGGTAGTAATGTTAAAGATATACAAAAAAAATAATTTTGTAGAACCCAATATTTTAATTGCCTAGGGACCCACAAATATTTAATCCGGCACTGGGTTTAAGACTGAAACAGCATCAGAGATTTTTATTTCAACGTTTAATCACACGTTCTTCAATAAACACGTATTACAATACTTATTTTCTGGTAAAATACTTTTATTCCTTGGACCTTTAATTATTGTTTCAGCGTTCTCAAATATTGAGCTCAACTTACACTACCTATTGATATTTTAAATGTTTTTCACATAATTATAAATATTTCCTCTATTAGTATATATATTTGTATATGGTTTCATTTTACATGTAAGTCCGAGATGAATTAATTATAAAACATTTCAATTAAAACAAGAGATAAGTTTAATATTCATGTAAATGATTTATTTTCCGAGTTAAAGTATTCGCTACCATCACAAACGGAAAATCTACCTATATTTCGAAATATTTCAAATAGTTATTGTCATTGAAAAAGCGACTTAATTCACACGGAAAGTAAATAAGATAAACCTCAAATGTAATTACACTTCCGTGTCTAGGTTACGACTAGACGCGTAATCGCTTAAAATGCAAATTTGCGTCACGAACGCGTAACCGTATAATTCGAAAGACTCGTAAATTATTTTGTGAGCACTTAAAATAATTGGATAATTATAAAATAAAAAAATTGTCTCTTTTATTTCAAATGGAAAAAATTAATCAACAGCATCATGTCATTCTGAACCGTTGTACTTATACACTATGGAAGCATTAGTTGTGCAAGAGGTCTGAGAGAAACACGTAAAGAACGGAAAAACTTATAAGACTTATAGTTAGTTTCGCGACAAAAACTTCTAAACTTTTATATTATTGCAATCGTAAGAAATAGCAAAACGATGTGTTATGAAAACAATTATTTAGGTTTACGATGGTACACGTGAAGGTAATTTCCATGAATTACAAACAATTGAATTTTTTTGGGGGGTGATGCTTACAATGTCTAATATGGTATTATATATGTATCAAAAATATTTATTTTGAATTCGCAATTCACCCCGGCGCTTGTCTCCGTTTTCAAATTGCACTGGAAATTAAATTCGTCCCATCACTAAACGATACTAAACGTTTTTTTTTTTTTTTTTTATTCAAATTACGCGAGTAAGCACTATTCCAACACCTTATTGGGAGCGGGAGGGGAAATCGTGAAAAACGATTTCCCCCTCGGGCCGGTCTCAAGACTACGCGTTTCGGTTTCATTAACGGCCGTCACGGCACTGCGCGTTAGAACCGCTTCCCGACGGCACAAAATACCGGTGTATTTGGTATTTCAGAATAATACCGGGCAATATATATTATGGTGTATAGTACGCGGCGTATAACGTCGTTTCATTTTTAGTGTACCATTTTTGCGGTAATAAAATATAGACATCTACGCGAGTGTCTCCGGATACAATAAATACCCCTAGATTTCGGTGGACCGATGACGTGTGGTCGAGTAAGAAATGTGAGGCATTTCCGGGGTTTGTTTTTTATCTCCTAATAATGCGAAAATAACTCCGGAATAAAAAAAAACCGCGGGATCATAATATATAATGTGTATACCAAGAGAGAAAGAGAGAGAGAGAAAGAATTATAACAAATAAATAAATATATGTCAGCAAAAATGATTTGATGGCGATAGCCAGACAATATAATATTATTGTACCCGTGGCGACAAGTTATATGACATATTATTGCATGCATTTCACTGTGTACTTTACGAGAGTGCTGAGGCGACGGGTTTTTGTTTTTATTTGCAATAGGCAATGTTCTGGTATAGTGCATACATTCTATATTACTATTTGTAAATGGGTGCCGGGAAAAGGAAAATCGAAATATCGAAATGAGACGTTCTTAATAAGCCGCCACTTAATATGATTACTGCGAAAGCACTAAATGTTTACTTCTAAAACGTTTGGCGCGGAAAAGAGCCCCAAATAAACCACGTATAGCAGGCTCGAATTTTCAAATGAAATTGAAGAGATGACAGCACTTAATCAGTACACAAGTGTTAGTAGTGTGGTTTCTTTTTTGTTAACAAATGTTCATCAAACACTACTGATCCATAAATGTCTCTCTCTTTCTCTTTCTCTCTCTCTCTCTCTCTCTTGGCTTTACTATTCCTTAAGAATTTTGGCCGCCACCATCACCGTTCTCCAATAATCATGATCCTGGGCTCTATTTTCCCAATTCGTTACTTCAAGTGTAAATCCTTCCTTATTCCATCCATCCATCGCTTACTAGGCCTTCCTCTTGGTCTTTTGCCCATCGGTTGCCATTTGATTGCTGCTCTCGTACTAGTGGTTTATGTTTTTCTGCATATCATAACCTAACTATTTAAGTCTTTGATATTTAATGTGGCTTGTTAACAACGAAACTTCAGTGATTTCTCTCATTTCAGTATTTTTTCTTCTGCACCATCTGTTTAGCTCACTATCAAATACTGAACCAAAAATCTTCCTAAGTATTTTATTTTCAAAAATGAACAGCTTTTTTTCTAATTATATTAGTGGGCTATATTTCACATCCATAAGTTACCATTGATCG